GTAACTACCAGATGGGATCCTGATGTGGGTACTCTGCATTGCCCCAAAAGCCAGTGTATGTGTTATAGCATATAGCATGTTGCACTGAGGAAAACACGAAGGTTCCCTGGTAGTGCTAAAACCCGCTCTTATTTCTGTGTATGTGCAGTATATATGCAAATGCATATATAAATGAAAATATTCACACAGAAGTTTACAGCCTTGTGTCTCCCTTCTAAGCAATAACTAGCCAGAGCAGCTTTTAGCTAATTATGTACGGAGGAGGGTTTAGAAAATTCAGTAGCTAAAAAAACCCCAATGTGGTCGTCACTGCATGGACAAGCCTGCTTGCTTTAAAAAATATATAAATCAGCCACCATGACCCCAAAACATAAATCTGAAAACCTGTCTTGTATCCCTACTTCTGCATTCCTCTGCCACAATGAAGATGAACTGGCCCTCAGCATCTGCTCAAGCGGCAAAATGGAATGCTTTCCTGGGCTTCCCCTTTGACATGCAGGGAGAAGTTTATTAAGGACATCTGCCAGATACCAAACTTATCACAGGATGATTGAGGCTGAGAGGCACATCTGGATATCTCATAGTCCGATATCTTGCCCTGAGCAAGGACACATAAAGCAGGCTTCCCAAGACCATGGCTAATAAAAGTTTCATGGTCTCCAGGGCTGCAGACTCCACAGCCTCTCCAGGCAACTTGTTCCAGTGTTTGACAATCATTGCAATAGAAAGGGAGTTTTCTTGTTTTTAAGTGGAATGTAGTGTTTCTCATTTTGTGCCCATTTCCCCTTCTCTTTTCCCTGGGCACCACTGGAAAGAATATGGCGCCATCTTCTTTACTACCTCCTATTAAGTTTTTATAGATGTTGACAAATCTCCCCCTTTTATGCATCAATCATCAATGGCAGATTCACAAGACAGGAAACGGAAGGCAAGTCAGTAGCTGAGACAAAGCAACGCAAGGATTGCTGTGGATCTCAAACAGAATCTGAGCTAAAAACCAGTCACTTCACTGCACATATGACAAATCCATGCTGGAACATATGGACAGCAGTATTTTATGTAAGGTGAGTGGCCTTCTTACTCAACAGTGTCTAGGTCTCTGCTGAAGGATCAGGGGGAGTTTGGACCATTGCAACTCAAGGAAGTTGCAGGCCTGTCAGAAAGGATCCCGGTGACAGCAACAACATTAATCGATGTGCTGAAAAACATCACCTACATGAAAATGCTCCGGGAGTGAGGCTGGTTTTGTCTGGGGAAAAAAGAAAGGAAGAGGGAAGGGTTAGCTTTCAGGTTCTGCAAGAGAAAGTAATGGACAAAAAAAAAATATACAGTCTTAAAATGTAAGGGGAGAGATTTAGGCTGGATATTGGGAAAACTTTCCAAGGTTGTTAAGGCACAGATCGCCTAAGGAGGTTCCTCACCTATGGAAGATGCAAGAAGACCGTGTAGTATCTGCACACAATGGCAGAGGTAGACCTGATCCTGACTCAGGAATGAGAGAAAGTTATGTTATGTCTTGAGGTCTTTCCAGCACAACTTTCTGTTATTCTATGAAAAGTGCTAAAAATCCACCTTGAACACATGCTTCCCACAAGTCATTAATAAGTATAGCTACCAAGCCAGGTGTTTCTAATATTACACAATTTAGAAAGACAAAATCCTCCCTGTTTTATTATCAGCAAACTCTAAAATAGCTCACCAAAAAGATCTCCAGCACCTAGAGAACACTGATGGGAGAAAATGAAAATAGCTTAAGCTTTAGTTCAATTGATCTGGAGAGATTTCTGAGTCTGGATACCTGAAATAGGCATTAACAGAACTGTCCTAAGAATATCTGTGGGCATCCTCCAGGTCTGGGCCTCATAGAAGTATGCAATACTTCTATTCCCACAGTCCATATTACGTTATTATTCAAGACAGATTGTGTCACGTTTGTCACACATGGTTCAGTCTTCCCCTGAATGTTTTTGCAGACACTGGCACCATTGCAAAGCAAGTATAAAACACCATCAGGCTAATATAATGCCTCCTTCTATTTGATGAGTCCTAATACAAATGACTCTGCAAGACCACAGGGCTCCAGGGTCTCCTGTGTTCTGCATAGTTACCTGTCACTCTATCTGCACGGACGGCTTTCAAAGACCTCTTTGTCTGCAAGGTAAACTCAGGCTGGAGATGATCTCAGACTTGAAATCCCAGCCAAGGGAAGTCATCAGGCTACAAAACCCACAAAGTTAAAAATACAGGGAGCACTGGAAAATCAACAGGAAGCAATTTCTGCTGACTGAAGTTTTCAGTCTTCTTCTAAACGCCAGCTAGCAGCGGCCTGTGGGGTGGGACAAAGCAGCTACATGAAAGCAGCAGCAGCCCTTAACTTGGTACCTTAAAGAATGAGCAAATGTCATGAAAAGATTAAGACTGTCCCTCAGCTGTGATGGTATATCTGGATATTTTGAGGGCAAGGTAGTTGAGTTCCCCAGACCATCTCTTCTCTCCTCCCTTCTTGTCAGGGTCCCCTGGACAATGGTTGCCAAAGGGGATTTCTCCTTTTCTTTTGGTTCTTGACATTAGCAGGCCTGAAATTGGTCCTGGCAGTTTGGTATGAAGTACTTACCATCTCGGGGGATTCCCAGGCCTGTTGGACATTAGGTGTCTGAACACATTTTTGTTTGGTCTGACTCGGGGCAATGCCTGTCAGACCAACTTACTTAGATCATAAGTACCAGCCATCAAATGAAGATTGACTATTTCTACCCCCAGCAAAGCAAAGTGCTAAGCTTTTTAGTGCAAAATCCCAGTGGAAAAAAGTTACAGAATGAAAACATAAAAACATGAAAACACAGACCTAAAATTTTTCTTCTTGCTCTGGTGTTCACATCAAATGATTGCGTCCCTCGGCTTCAGAAGCTGAAGATGCAGCTCAGTAAGCCTCTGCCTTCAGAGTGGGACATCTCTGAGGCATCTGAGGCATATGCAGATACAGATGCAGGAAAACTGCCGTTTCATCTCCCCAGTCCATAGAGCCTCTTGAGCCGATGTGTAAGCTGGCAAGTTTGCCTTGACCCACTAGGGAGCTCACTGATGGTACACAGACCATCCGCTCTTGGCTGAAATTCATCAAGGAGGACTCCCCCCTCCCTACCTCCATTGAGATTTTTTAAATATATAAAATGCAGGTGCCCTGTAGAGGGACATATTTTCTTATGTCTTATCCAATATGATCACTGAGGAAGTATGGCTGTGGCCAAGACAACACTGGGCAATCTCATAAGAAAGCCCAGCCAGTCACCTGAACAACTGTCATTCCCTCTGTTCATATGCGTGTGTGTCTGTGTGTGTGTGTGTGCGTGTGTCCTTGAAGCAGGATTTATTTCCTGGCAACAGGAATTTTCCCCCTCCTTTCATTGTAATTGGGAGTTACAGTGATGTAAGATCATGTAAGGGTGTTGCTTTGAAAAGTTTATACAGGGCCACAGACATGAAATCTCATTACATCATTGGGTCACCAGTCTACAGTCATTGCTTTAAAATTAGGTGGATTTGAAAAAAAAAAAGGAAAGTTGGAAGTGATTTCTTCATTTGTCGTCTGGCCTCTGAGCATTTACAGGTGTACTGGTTCTCCACTGGCAAGTTTTTTCCATGCGTTCATGAGGACAAAACATACTTTTTTCAGTTTGGGGGGAGTGTCTGTATAAAAGTTATTCCTGGCACTATCTTTTGGTTCCAGCTAGTAGAAGTATCAAAAGAACATTAAATAGTACAAGGATCTCAATAAAATTACAAGCATTAGCAGCAACATCTATGTGCTATGGTATTACATGGGCAATGGTTAGAAGAGGAGTTTACAGCTGCCTAGTCTCTATCATACTAAGTCTGAAAGAAACACAACAGGAAAAGGGAAAAAAAAAGCTGTTTAAAGGGAGAAAACCAAATTTTCTGTCTCAAAAAAAAAAAAAAAAAAGAAAACCTGATGAGTTGTATTTGTATACAGAGGCACTAATTTAATATAGGATTCTGAACCTATACAGGTATGTTTGCATCAAGCCGGAAAGGGACAACTTGCATGTCACAATAAGAAACTATTCTAGTTTAAGGTCTACTCATTTGCTCATAAAGAACAGAATCAGGATTTAGAGACCAAGATGAGCACTGATCAGCTAATCCTGGCATTCTCCTCCTACAGAGAGTGAACTGAGACCACTGAGTCTTGCTGGCACTTCTGAGGGGCAGCAGAGCCTGTGGCCATGCAGGAGGATTATCACACCTCTGGCCCAAGTTAATCATTCTGATTTGTGCCTTAACCTTCACTGACACCTACTGCAGTCATAATCGCCCTCACATACATTGCCTTTTGCTCCCCGTAGCTTAAATATTCCTGGCCAACATTTCCAGCCATATAAATCACACCTCTTTGAAAATATAAAATGTTTGAATAATCGAGCAGTACTGTTAATAGTCTTCCCAGCTTTGCTAACCCTCTGATAGTTAAAATCTTAATAAATAAACCAGATCAGGTGGGTTTCTGTGCTTATCACCTTCCTGCCGCTTAATGAGGCTTTTCAGCTATTTAGCTATTTAGGTTTAAATCTTTTGTATTAGGTTTATAGCTGGCCAGTGGCATGACAGCCAACTCAGACATAATTCTAAAACTGATGTTTCCAAGTGGAAACTTGGAATTTGAATTCAAATGACCTTACTTCTTTTATTATTATTATTATTCTTTCCTGTATGCGTTTTTCAGCTTGCTCATTCTTAATTCCTGCAGTACTTACTACTGCAATAAGCCTAATCCTTTATACTTGTACACCCCAAGAGTGGGAGCCATAAATACTTCTGCAGTCTCTCCAGGGCAAATCAGCTGTAATTGGATCTCCCATTGCCTCGCAGAAAAAAAAGGAAAGGAAAATAAGGAAAGGCGCATTCCAGCCAAAGACAATTCTATGTCTGTGTCTGTGTGTTTGTGCCCTCGAGTAACACTCTGTCCTTTTGCTCTGCTCTAGGCTGAGTTCTCCGAGCTGAACCTGGCTGCTTATGTCACAGGCGGCTGCATGGTGGACATGCAGGTCTTGAGGAACGGCACCAAGGTGGTAAGGTGAGGAACACCAGCTTGTCTTGAAAATCAGGATTGCTGGAGCAATGTTGGGGCAAGCAGGATGACTTCAGGGTCTGATTGGTACCTGAACTAGGGCAGCACAGTCCTGAGGACTTCAAGGTTTCCTGGAAGCAATGGAAAGACTGACCTGGCTGATGGTTTTGTATAAGGTCTCAGATGCACATTATGCCATACAGTCATTGTTTCCAGTCTAGACCCTTCAGGCAACTACAAATGCCTCCTTTTTGGGTTCTTTTTAGCCTCAGGCCTCCCAGTAAAAGGGACAATGAATCTTCCTTTCCCTTGATTTTTCTCTCCTGTGTCAGCTAACCCTCATTGTAAACAGTGGCTTGCATTCATTATCCTACCTGTGTTAGTAATATTAGTCCTGATCCCAGTGGATTACCCTTGCAGTATCCACAAAGCCTTTTGAGTATCCTGATCTTTGCAGCCTGATTTGCTCCTGAAATACCACCTTTTTTTTTTTTGTCAGAGACTCCCAAAGCCCTAGACTTGCACTGTGATATATCTCAGAGGTTATACCATATATCTGATGGGGATTTCTGACCCCACTAGCATTATTTCATAATTGCAGTCATTGCAAACAGACTTTTCCTGAGCAATGCTTCCCCAGTCGTGCACCCTATTCACTTTCCAAAAACAGTGCTTGACTCCATTCTAACACCAGGGTGCCTGCAATTTGGAGTTAACGTTAGATGCATTATTACTGGTACTATATAAAGAGCAGTATGAGCTGTTACATCTGTGTATGATGGTAAAATGCCTCTGTTTACATAGCCCTGATATTACCTCTCACCCTTTTATTCCCAGGCCTACATCTTAATGAGTTTCTGTCATTACAACTTCTAACTCTACATTTCATCTTTGATAACAACAGCTTTTCTGTGCTCATGTTGAAATCTCATTGAAATTCCCAATCCATCTTTCTAGCCTCCCTACTTTTTTTGTACAAATCTTTTGTGCTTTTTGGTGTATACAGCATCTCCAAATTTAATATTGTTCACACATTTAGTCAATGCTTTTGTCTGTTAGCTTCTAGTTCAGAAGTAAAGCTATAGACACATAATATAGCATGCAGGGATACTTTTGAAAGAGATTATTAGAGCAGCTGAAAAACAGTGATTCTGAGTGTGCTGGCCTCAGTTTAATTTTTCAAGATGTCATTTCCAGTCCAAACAGTGCAAAGCAACACTTGTCACTGTCAATTAGCTATGACTGTGGTCCATCAATTTATTTCAGGTCTTGACGGCTCTTAATCTCCATTCATTCTTAAGTGCAATTTCACAAGCTTCTGCTAAAATTTTGTCAGGTTGAGTCTGTTACATCCATTTGCTTTTTCTCGTCCCACAGATGTCTGCTTCTCAGTGAAACAAAGCGTATGTCCCATGAACCAGCCTCTGGTGCATCCATCAGACAGTGCGCCATGCTAATGTGCTCTTGTATTCGCTTGCTCACGATGCTGGAAGGTTTCCGAAAACCATTTCCTAGGTTGATCACATCTTCATTTTCCCTCCCTTGCCTCCCAAAGCCATTCATACATCTTTCCTCCCAAAGCCATTCATACATCTGGCAGAAAGATCTTGAGCTATTAAACTGAAACTGAAGACAAAATTTATTTCACAAGAGTGTCTGGGACATGGTGTTCATGCTTCTGCTCACAGTAAATACACAGGTATCACAGCTAGCCTTTTTGCGTGGGTATTTATATTTGAAAATGCATGTCTTTATGAATGGCATTAGTTCAGGGTTTTTGGGGCCGTGTATGCATGCTTAAGGACACATGCATTTGTGTGGTGGGAAATGGATTTGGTAAATATATGCTTGTCTCTATACCCAATTTATATGGTATGTGTTGTCCATGGTTTCTTAAAAGACCTTACAAGCACTAGCCATTTGTTTACAGCCTGTGCCACTGTGCCCCTGTCCTGCCCAGCTCAGAGGGGTTAAGAGCTCAAGCTAAGCAACTTCCACAGCCATTCCTAGAACCTATAGAAATAAAAACTCTTCTTCACTTTCAAAGGGGAATTACTGAGCTGTGTGGAGGCCCTTCACCCACCCTCATGGGTGCAGCTTGCTTCTCATTCCAAGTTTCCCATCCCCACGGATTTGTCCTGCCTGACCACAGACACCCCTCAGGATGCCCAGCTGCAGGGAGACGTCACACAGGCCACCTTCAACTGACATTTGTGCACCAACCCTGCTGCTGATGACATCTTTTTCCATCACTTATTAGACCTCTGCTAATTATCAAGCAAAACAGTCACAAGTCAGAGTGTTTCTAGACAGTGAGATATAACACTCATTATGGTTTTTGAATACTCAAAGCCCTTGGAAATCCCACTGACAAGTTACAGGAAGGAAATATGACATCTTGCTTACAGGCACATTTGGGATTCCCCCCTGCAGGAACCGTGCCTTCTTCATATTCTTCAAAGGAAAGGCAACAGAGAGTGACTCTTGGCGTAGTCAAAACCAGTGAATGTACTGCAGACCTGTAAATTTTAAGTCAATAAAATAAAAAATGTTTATAACAAGAGCAACAGAAACAATAATAATAAAGCAACCATGGGGCTATTCTCTCCAGTTTGAAATTATGCTAACTGATAAACTATCTAACAATCTATTAGCCTATTAAATTCTGTCATTTTGCAGCAGTTCTTCTAGATGTTTCTTCAAAATGGGGACATCCTCTTGCACATTTAATTCAAAGCTTTTTCTTTGCTAATCCCTTGATCCTTTCTGACACCTTGGAGCTCAGGCACTCTTTTTTGACTTGAACATGACCAGGAAGGAATTGTGGTTCTTTTACCTGGGAGATAAATCCCCTAATAAGAAAGTATAATGGTCCTTGAAGCCCTAGGCTTGCCTCAGGCAAATTTAAGAAAAAAATATATTAAAATGAGCTTTAGAAGCATTGTTGTCAATTAGAGAGAATTAAAGAGAACAAGGAACTGGAAGTATACGGATCTCCATGACTATTAGACTGTCTATGTTGAAACAAGTAGCTTCAAGCAAGCTATCAAACTTCTCTCCAAGTGCTACTGGAGAGAAAGACCATCATCTAACAAATCTAAAACAAGCTGCATGTGTTTTTTCAGCTCCAGTCCGACCATGGTGTGATGGCTCCATCAGCCCATTCAATACACTTTCTTCAGAGATAGAAGAAAAAGAACTGGCCATGGAGTAATTTCTAGGTGCGATGGCTGGACTACTAAGCAGTGTGAAAAAAAAAGCATGGGCTTATGCCTGCTTTTAAAACACTTGGGTGGATTCTTCCTCCTCCTTCCAGTGCATGCACAACTTCCTTTTGCACAGGTCTATACACACAGACAGAGTGAACTGTCTGGAGTCTAATTTACCATAGAAAGCTCTTGGGCTGTGTCACCTCTACTGGGATTAGACATAAGGAATAGGATTTTCATTTCCACTTGTCTTCATTTCTCTGTAGGGCCCTTCCTACAGTGTTTCCACAGTGCAAAGAGGCTGTCAGTGCTGGCACAGCACCCACTCTGAGGTGCATTTATGCTTTCAGGATATTATAAAAGTGTCTTAGTATAAACGAGAGTTTGGGCCGTCTCTGCTTCTGACAACAACACTTAGACTCCCAAACTATGATCTCAGCCTCTGTGTTAGATTAAATGCAGTCCTGTGTTTGCCTTTTGGGCTTTACAAGCCTTCAGCTATTAATTCCAGTAGATGTGGGAATAAGACAGGGATATGTTGAAAATCTGGACAGCTTTTTTACATGGGGAATACTAATGTCTTTGGGAGCATTTCAGACTTTTAAGGATATGAATTAATCATGCACCAGACTGCTCTCATCTCCTGTCTCCCCATGGAGCTGGTTCTTTTGCCATTGGGGCTGATCATCTAGGGGAGAAAGCACATTTTTGTGTGTCTGCATGCGACCTACCACAGTGGTGGCTGTACCACGTAGAGTGTGCTTATGCAGGCTCACATATGCCACAGTACAGACAATACCTGATAGACCATGAGGTGCCCAGGGTCTGAAATGGGGAGGACCCTGCATGGAGCAATGGCTCTGGCAGGAGCTGAGCACTGAGGACAAAGCCTTGCTGTGGGGCAGGATATATTCCAGTTTATAAACTGGTGTTTAGTCCTATAGGCCTTGCCTGAATTTGGCCTATCTGTATAAGAAGGTGCATATGTCACCCAGTTCCGCCTGGAAGATATGGCTTTGTCACTCACAGCTGTGCTAAAGTCAGTGAATGCTCTAATTCCTCTATACAAGCCGATTCATTCCTTTAATTAACACTGACTTTCCCGTTGGTTCCAGCTGATTCAGTGCTTCTGTACTTTGATAACAGGACAGTAGCCTGTTGAATCGCCGTCCCGAATAGACTAGGACCTGAGAGTGCTTTTTTTCCCAGAGCATATTTTTGCACTGCAAGCTGTAGTACAATCACAACATGAGGAAGCAAATCCTTCTATATGGGAGGAAGACGGAAGAAACTGGCCAGCCCAGTAGCAGGTGTTTTCCTCCTATTCAGAGCTTCCAGACCCCAGCAGATGTGTACCCTGGCTAAAAAAGGTCTGCCTGCTCCAGGATGCAAGACTCTTTAAAGTCCAGTGAGGACACTGTCCTTTGCCCACTGCACCTTTTCCTTTCCCAGAAGGTTCACCCACCCCACAGGGCCATCGACAAGCTGCTCCCTGAAAGAGGCGTATGGGTTTTCATCGCACAGTAGCTGCACATTGCTAGGAGATGGATGTTTTCTTGTCACTCGAGGGCTATTCATTCAAGAGAATTAGTGGTTTCTTGCAGTTCCTATATAGGAAGAATAACCAGGGATGTCATGGGAGTAGCTACTGTCCCTGAACAGTGGTATAGGACATATTGGTAAGAATTAGGCCACTTTCCAGCTTCTCATCTTCCAGGAAGCTTGTGTCAAAGAGGAACCTTAGGCTCCACATAGTACCTATCTTTTAATTTAACTGTTGATCTAATTGGTCTGATT